CAGTTTGCAGGTCTTTTTTCTTTCTTCTAAAAAAATTTTTAAGAAAAAGGAGTAAAAAGTTAGTAAAGCAATGTATATCTCTTTCCTTGATGTTTCTGGGTAACTTGTTATATATATGTTGAAAATACTTGGTAGCTTGATTCAAAGAAGATGTTGTTTTCCTTGTATGTTTGAACTGTTTCACTTTTTTCAATAAAATTACCAAAAAAGGAAATTTTTTTGAAAAAAGGAGGATCAGCGGAAAGAGTTTTTTTTTGATACTAATTGTAAACTGATAATATATCTTAGAACAATTTCTATATAATAATACTATATAATATAAATAAAACAAGGTTGAGTTAATATTTAAAAAAAAAAATAAAATAAAATAAGACTTTAAGAAACAAAATTATTAATATTATAATAGATCTTAAAGAAAAGAATATTTTGATACTTGAAAAAAAAAATAGATCAGAGAATATATATTTTAAGAATATTATCTATTTGAAAGATGTTATGGAAAATAAGTAATATAGGAAAAAAAATAATTAGATTTTTAGTTCATTAAATAGAACTTTGAAAAATTTATAATAATAATCTATAAATATTGAACTTTATAGTTAAATGATAATTCAACTTATAAAAAAAGTAAAATATTATTTTCTAAATTATATCTAAAGAAAGAAATTTTAGCAATGTATAAACTAATATATGAAAGTTATCTAAATTAAAAATTATTTCTATTTAAAAGATATCAAGAATTATTCAACAAGATTGAAAAGTCATATAGGAACCTAGGATCCATCATTAGTCATCTTCTTTTATGCAGGTGGATACAGACCAAAAGAAAGAAAATGTTGAGCAAGATACTGAATCTGAATAAACAATAAGTACCTCAGATAGTCACAAGAAAATAATCAAAAGCATGGATGGATAAGCTCTTTAAATGGTTAGAAAGAAAAAGGATATCCTAGAAAAATTGACTCTTAATAAGAAGAGAATTTTAGCAGAAATTCTTTGGAGGACATAGAATAATTTTATTTTTCTTTTTTCTTTTTTCTTTTCATGTAGTACATTTGTATAGTTTTAAATATTTCCTTTTCCTTTTATTTTTTCTTTCCCCTTTTGTAGTTTCTCAAATTCATTTCCTTGGAGGATTATAAGTAATGATAACCTGCTAGTAATAATGGGTAAATTAGGAGAGTATTCACTCAAAATCTATCAGGGAGCAAAATATTATCCCCAAGGTTACACTTAGAGGCTGAAGCTCTTTTAAGAATTGAAAGTCATTGATGAATGTGTAGTATAAGTCTTTTAGTTTAGCCATAATACAATTGCTCTATATATCTCTATTGGTTTTCATATAATTAATAAACACAATGCTGGCCTGATCACGGGTTAAAAAAAATTTTTTAAAAATTAAAAATTATTTCTATTAATATATAATAAAGTAAGTTAAAAATAAATAAATAAATAATTCTAGTAATATAAGTAATATATAAATTATATACTATTTACAAATGTTTAATAAAGTACACTTAACTAAATAAAAAATAAAAAAAATTAATCATATTTTATATAAATATTAATTGAATTTGACAATACATAATTGATGATTATAAAAGATTAAATCAGGAACCTTTAGTTTTCAAAATATTTATTAAATTATCAAAATTATATTAATAACATTCAATTAAGTAAGTTGTAAGTGCAATTGGTTTGATAACAAAAATATGCACAAAAAATGAAGGATGAAGCAATCAAGGATTTATTTGCTAAGAGTGTTTAATAAGAAAAGATAATCCAATGCCTAAGTCAAAATTGAATATATGTACAAAATAGAAGCTAAAGTAAGGTATGTGTAAACAAGCAACCACACCAACATATGCCGAAAAATATAAGGCTGTTTGGCATAAATAACCTTATATCAATAAAAAAGTAATTCGAAAAGAAAATTAAGCAAGGACATTTGATGCTTAAGTGTTAGAATTTGCAGGGGAAGGGTGATGTGATTGCTGGGGGTCTTGATTTACAAATAAGCCCAGTACATTATCAATAAAAAAGAAATCTCGAACCATTCGCAGCTAGAATAAGAAGAAAAATCAATTGGTTTCAAGAAATTTTTATAAAATGGCTCGTCAAAAGTAATAAAAAATTACACACGTAATCACAGTCTTCAGGTCTTCTGCCAATATCTGTATTACCATCCTGTCGAGGGTTGCCACCAGTGCTTCCGTCATTGGTGACAAGATTAGTATCAACATCCATTCTATTGGCCGAGTTCCTTTCCTTTTCTTTTTGCGTAAATGAATTAAATCAGAATTTAATTTTAGAAGAAAGTCAAAAACATTTTAATCTAAATACCGCTAGATGATCTAACTCTACTACGCTTAACAATGTGACTTTCTAAATTCGAAACTTGATCCTTCGCCTTTTGAACCGTTTTCCTTTTACGATTCTTCTTCTCTAAAATGGTTTCTATGGAGGAATCTTTTGCAAGACGTCTACGAACTTTCTTTTTGACAGCCCTTTTTATGGGTCGATCCACCTTTTCCATCTTTACTGGCTCCTCAAAAATAGGCATATATGGTCCAATGAAAACTCCATTTGGCGCAGCATTATTAAATGCTAATTGCTCCTAATATTTTAAAAATTTCAATAAGTAATTACACCGCTAAATATAAGAAGAGAATATGACACCTACTCCTTTTTTCAATTTTCGAGAAACTTTCCACCGATTATAGGCTAAAGATCCCACAGACCTAAATATTTAAGGATAAGTAAAATAATAGTAATAACATAACTATAATAAATAACTATAATATTTACTCATCCAAATCTTCGAGATCTTCAATTTCTTCATCGTCTCCCCATTCTGATATATAGGCCTGTTTAGCATTGTTGTAGGCATTAATAATTCTCTGCATTTTAAACCCATCACGAAGCTGCAACGGATGAATGCAACCTCTGTGTTCGGTATAGCATTCTAGACATATATCATAGGCGGACCCAGTCTCCGTAACACATTTATAACAATGAAGATGTCTGTTCCATAGATCACAATGACAAAAATCACAGGATAAATGTAATTTGCTATCTGGGGTCTGGAAATTAAATTATATTTATTGTTAATTATGCGAAAAACAATGTTCCAGAAATTAAAAATAAAAAAGTTACCGTTGGAATATGAATGTCTTCTTCCCACTGACTACTGGAAACCCATTCTTGATCTAAAATATGTTTGTATGCACCAAGTAATATCTTATATTCCTTTTGCAAATTTCGACCCGGAGAATTCTTCATCCGAATAGAAAAACTCGGATTTTGAATAGACTTTTTACGATTAAATGGACGACGCAAATTGGGTGACAGAGCTTCAGACCATTTAACTATACTTTCATATATAACACGTTTTATTTGATACGTTTCCGGTCTTAAAACTCTAGGTGTGATATTAAAATACAAAGATTAACCAATATATCCTATTACATATAATCATAGTTCATCGTTTTATACCTTCGATAATTCGGTATTGAACTAGTTAAAGCCAAGGCTACAGTATAGGGAGTTAATCTGTTCCACGAAACTTTTATGGTGCATCCTCCCTGCAGATATTAAACCAAATTTCAATAGATGACTTAGCCGCCCTCGCATCAAAATAAAAATTTTTTACAAACCTCATTTATAACTTCATGGCAACACTCTGAGGGTACAAGTATAAAATCACCAATACGTTGTTTTGTATGGTACACAGTAAAGTCAGCCTGAGATAATATTTCGGGTGGTGCATAATAGTTTTCAAGATCAATATTTGCAGTTTTCTGCCGAAGGAATTCTGCCATCTTTTCCCTATCGTCCCGACCGACCATATACCATGTGGACCAAGAGTCTGAAATGTTTTATAATTAACCCAATAGAATCTTAAAACTGAAGTTAAACGTTAAATATAATTACCAGGATCTGTGTAAACCATCAAGTTGTGTCCAAAGGCTGCACAAATATCCTTATGCATTGGGGTTCTACCATGGAAATTTCAGAAATTGTAAGAATAATTATCTTAATTTCGTCAAAACAATAAAATTATGGAAACAGTTTTATTTACTTTGTTCCCTTAATGCCGATATATAACATAAGATTATCGGCTCGAAAATCAGGAGGTATGTTAGCTAAACGAAGGATATTATTAATTTTCCAGTAAAATTTGTTTCCCCGAAATTCTCGTAAAATGGTTCAACTTACACATTAAATCGTTGGTTCCATGATATTTAAAGTAATTTGGCAAAAATTTTCCGACATAATCTTTCCACGGATTTGGACATATGATATCTTTTCCATACAACATTTGTTCTGCGGGTATTGAGTTTTTCCTTGTTTCCTCGACATAATTAAAGTATTCTGCCAAACTCATATTCTCATCCAAATTCTTGTTCATATCACGAGTTATAATTTCTAGATAAAGCAAGCAAATCAGAAGTATGAGAATAGCGTAATTCTAGTCTAATTAAGTTCACTGGAAATAAGTTTCAAGGTGGCAGCAGCAGAAAAATCCGAATCGATATTAATAATATGTTTTACCAATATGATAGGAAGTAAATTAGGGGAATACAAACCATGACTCCCATAATTTTGCTGGAGCCAAGTGATATTGAAAAGTTCACTGTCAAACTCTTCTTTTAAGTGATAGTTTTCGATGACGAGAGGAATGCCCTGCTCGACACAGATTTCATGAACTTGCTCAATTATTTCTTCGTCTGTCAACTTGAGAACATCAAGACGAGTTACTTCTTTAAAGGATGGTATTGGATCCGAAGAGCCCTCCATTGAAAATAAAGGAATATGGTTTCTTATAAAATGTGTCAAGGGAAAAATTGTTTTCGTTAAGATAATTTTAATTCGTATTTCCTTAAAAAAGTTAAGTGGTTTCTTATCGACACGTGACTTATAATGTATGATCGATATAGATTGCTTATCATGTGATTAGGGATGTAACATGAGCATGTGTTTAATATGTTACAGATCAATAATATAATATTATGATCCATGCCCTATGTGATAAATAGAAATCACATCCCTGTGCACTCAACCTTACTTTTTTTCTTTTTTTTTTTTTTTTAAAAAAAAAATGACGACTTTAGATAAAAAAGAACTTGTTAAAATTGGCGTTATCGGAGGAAGCGGACTTTATAATTTTGATCATTTAGAATATGTTGGGGAAATTTACCCGGAAACTGTGAGTATTTCATATAAATATAAAAGATAAAATTTATTTTTTAACATAACATATTTTTTCTTCGTAAGCCATGGGGTTACCCTAGTAGTAAACTTATTATAGTTAAGGACTTACGTGGTTTTCAAATTGCATTTCTCTCTCGGCATGGTAGTGGGCACATATATAATCCCACCGAAGTCCCTTACAGAGCTAATATAGCCGCACTAAAACATATCGGAGTGGAAATTATCATTGCATTTTCAGCCGTAGGGTCTCTCCGGGAGGAAATTAAGCACCGAGATTTTGTGATTCCTGATCAAATTATTGACCGCACCAAGGGAATTCGTCCATTCACATATTTTGAAGGAGGAATCGCTGCTCATGTGGCATTAGCTGATCCATTTGATCCTTTACTTGCTGACATAATCTATTCACATCGTGAATGTCTCAAAAATCCTGAAAACGGAGATAATGTGACTATCCACCATAACAAAACCCTTATTTGCATAGAAGGTCCGGCGTTTAGTACTAGAGCTGAATCCAACTTGTATCGTAATTGGGGGTGTGATATTATTAATATGTCTGCATTACCTGAAGCAAAACTGGCCAAGGAAGTTGAAATAGCATATCAAATGATTTGTATGTCAACCGATTATGACTGTTGGAAACAAGATGAAATTGTTTCGGTAGAAAGCGTGATCGCAAACTTAAAGCAGAATGCAGAGAATGCGAAAAAACTATTATCGGTTATATTGCCTGATTTGGAAAAGGCATTGGGAGAAGGAAAGTTTGCGGATCTAAAAGGTGTTATGAAAAAAGCGTGTATAACTACTAAGGAAGCATGGACAGAAGAGGCAATTCAAAAATTGGAATATGTGTTGCCTGGATATTTTAATTGAATGCATTTTCATATTTTATATGTAATAAAAAAAGATTTTTTTTAATTTTAATATCTCAAATTTTTGAAATTTATATCTTATTTAAAAAGTTTATGAATAAAAATTTTTTATTTTAATGCTATAATTATTTAATATAATAAAGAATATATCAAAGATTTTAATGATTAATTAATAATTTTATTTTAAATATCAAAATATTTAATAATTTTTTTTTTTGCAATAATTTATTAAATCAAGTTAATAATTTGACAACTGATTACTTAATACAAAATATATACAAGCATTGTGTATAATATGATCAAATTAATATTTGACTAGCATATTTAAATAAAATTATTTTTAAAAAGATCAATTTTAAGATAAAAATTAAGAAATAATAAAAAAATAATTAAAAAAATTTTTTATCTAAAATCTTTTTAAACAATATTATATATATGGTTTGCTCAAAATCTTAGTTTATTAATAAATTAAGAAAAAAAATAATTTTTTAATCTTAATTTCAAAAAAAAATATTCAATCTTTCAAATATCAAGTAAAATTATTTTTATAAATATCTTTCTTTTACTTTTTAGATAAATGATTATTACTTATATACAAAACTTATAAAAATAGATTATCTGAATTATTTGAGTTCTATAAATTACTTGATTTATAGTTTAAAACAAAACTTTTTATTTTTTTGTTATAATCTAATAAATAATTATTTAATTAAAATAAAATTTTAAATATATACTATATAATTTATAACCTAATTTAAAAAATATTTGAGTTTAAATAATAATTAATTAATAATTTTTTTAAAAAATTTGATTTAAAGCTAAAAAAATAATTAAATAAATTTTTTTTTATAAATTTTTATATATAAATTTATATAAAAAAGTGAACCTATTCAAATACATAAGAAAAAATAATATATTCTTCAAATCAAATCACCAAACTCTTACAATACATATATAATAAGCCATTCAAAAACACCAAGAAAAGAAATATATATTGCTTTACTAATTTTCTTTCACTTCTTTTTCTTAAAAATTTATTAGGAAAAAGAAAAGAAATCTATAAACTAATTTATAGTTAAAAAAAAAGAACCAATATCAACTTTTCACTATTTACAGCCAGATCAGTGCAAGTTAATACATTTCTTGACATTGCAAGAAACCCAAGAAGCAACTAAGTTTGTCTGATAAATCAAGTTATTTCAATTATTCAAAGGTCTAGAAGAATATCAAAGCTTTTTAAAGACAAAACAATCTAAATATATAGAACATATACATATAAACAATATAACTATTATTTACCTTATCACATAAATACAAATACTGTATATAAAAATAGACAAGCAAAACAAGTATACATATAAAAGCAACAAACAAAATACACATGTACATATATAACTTATAATCCAAACAAGTTAATTGACATTCTATATAAACATGATAACAACTTGTAAAATTTGAATAGAATTTTTAATATAAATAAATAAACAACATATCAAGGTTTTTTTGTATTACCTAATCAAAAAATCATAAACAACAATAATCTTAGAAAAATTTATTCGCAATTTAAATATAGATTACTGATAAACATAAATAAGCAATTATATGACTTATCAATAAATCTAAACCAGTAGCAAATATGAATAAAGCATAATATATATTACAGTATAAATAGTTGGTAAAAAAGAAAAGAATATTTTAAATACTTTAATCAATCTCTCAATAAAACATAATAAATACTTTATTCTATAGGTCTTACAACAACTACTAAAATAAAGAAATAATGAACTCAGTGAATCAGTAATCACATTATCAGAAATATAGTATATACTATTTTAGATAGTATTATAGCCAAAATATTAAGAGTTGATGTGACAACTTTTCACAAGAAACAAATTCTAACTCAATATATTATATATCTTTAGCAACAAGATAAAGAGATTAAGAAAGATTTTTTACAATTCTATATTGAAGATAAGTTTATAAAAATTATTAAAAATTCTAAAAGTCAATATAAATTAAAGTAATAATCAATATAATCAATAGAAATCATTAAACAAACAAATAAATAAATCAACAATAGACAATAAAATAACAATGATATGTACATAGAAAATGGAAAAATTGGAATCATAAAAACTTTGTGAAATAGTAAAAAGACAATATATTAGTGAATATAGCTTTTATACTACTAGAAATAAAGACATGGTATTATCAATGAATCTTTATTTTATAAAAAAGAAATAATTTATAGATTAGGTATACTGACAGCCAATATTTCAGAAAAAACAAAAGATGAAACTAAGGTATACTTAAGCAATACTTTTAAACTTCTACAAGAAAAAAAAAACCTATTGCAAAAAAAGTTTATCAATAGAAATAAGTGATTAGTTTTTTAAATGCAAGAGAAAGAAAATATTATAAAATATATAGAAGAAATTAACTGAAAAGAAGACAATTTTATCATCTAAAATATAATATTCCTGAGTATTTACAAAAAACAAAGGACAGAAAGAAACCTAGATAAAAAAGTCTTTCAAGAATCTAAAATCAAAGTAGTCACTATTATCTGGCATATATGTTTAATAGATCTGGATTAGAAAATAATAAAAATCTTATAAAAGTACATTTAAAAAGATATAAAGAAGTCCAAAATATTTATAACTATAAGGTGTATACAAAACTATAAGTGAAAATCTATATCAAATAGCACAAATATCTCAACCTAAATCCTGAAGAAATTTGAATAGCTTTAATCAGTACAGAAATATCAAAAGCTATATTCACTGAAGCTGAGCTTAGTGACAATAAAATTAATCAAATATTAATTAAAAGAAACAACAACTCAGCAAGACTTCTAAGTATTAACAAAACCTACACTAGTCTAATAACTAGAGTATTGAATGGTATACAAGCTAAGGCATGCTACATACCCAAGGATATTTATATACTCAAGAAGTATAACTTTACAGTAGTTTGTTTTAAGGCAAAAAAAGAAAAAGACTAGATATATAAATAATATATTTTCTTGCAAGGATATTGCCTTTCATAGAGTATCAAATATATATCTAAAACAAAAAGACAGAATTTTGAAGGTGTAAATAGAAATATAAGATTCAGATTCAAAAAAATATAAGTAGATAATGAATTAACACCTGACTCACAATTAAATAATAAATTAATAGAATTTATTTCTACTTCAGCAAGTTATCATAGTTTCAAGAATTTGAGACAGATTAGACAATAAACAATAATAAAATAAGATATAAAAAAAATAAAAGAGAAGAATATCCTGTAACAGAAAACAATAAAGAAGCAATTAAAAATCAATAAAACCATAAATATAGATTTTTTGAAGATAATATGAGACCTAAAATAGAAAGCACACAAGATTCTTTAATGAGTATTCTAATTAATTTAGAAAGACTATATGCTAAAATCAATATCCTAGAGGGATAAATAGTTTTCAGAAGATTAAGACTCAATAATAAAGAAGCAAATTGCTCCTAAAGATGCATCAGTCCTTAATAGCAATCAAGATAAGTAGGAGTTCACTGCTTCCTCATCAAAAATATAAATATGAACAATAAATAAACTTTAAATAGTAATAATAATTTTTTTTTTTTTTTTTAATCTGCCGTTAGGCTGGCACGACTTATCTTTATTGTGTATTTAAAATATTATACAATTTCAAAGATTTTCACATGACAGCTCACCCGTCTTAGAAGTT